CCCCCCCCCCCCCCGCCCAAAACGAGGGAATCGGAATCTCGGGTGTGGCCCAAATGCCGGTGTGGTTTTAAGCTCCCGGGCGGGCCGTTCGGCGCATCGGACTGAGCACCGCTTCCGGAGAGCAAACAGGCCTCGGGTCCGCCGGCGGCTGTGGCAGCTCGGATGCCCGACTCTGCCTGCCTCCGTCCGCGCAGTAGGGGCGGCTCTGCCCATCTGGCGCCGGGAGGATGAACGAAGCCATCTAAGCGATGCTGGCTCCTTTTGTTCTTCCTCACACGGCTGGGGCTTCAGAATCGCCATTTCACCCGTTTCTCGGGGGTTGTGAGAAAACCGGCCTCCTCTGCGGAAGTCAGCGGTCCGTCAGCGTGTTTTAGTCTGTCACACAGAGTAGAGTCCTCACGAGGGAGGAGGAGGAGGAGGGGGAACAACCAGCTCAGAAAAGCAGTATTTCGCTAAACCGAAGGGTCCGGCCCAGGGCGGCACACCCTGCCGGGGCCTGTGGCTAGCACCGACGGCCAGAGCGGGCATATGCCAGGGGAAACGCGGCCGCCCTTGCAGGCGGCCGCCTGAGAGGGCTCCGAACAAGACGGCGCCGGGCAGGCGGTAGAGCGTCGAGCGAGACGACCCCCGCCAGCCTGGCGGGGTGACACGCGGTGCGTCCGTCCTTACCGTGAGGCGGGTGTCCCACCTGAGAGGTGGCGGGTGGCGACCGCAGGTCCTAGCGCAGAACCGGCCTTGCCCTACAGGCTCCTGTCGGGTTTAGGCGTCTGGGTTCTTTTCATTTCCTTTCTCTCTAACGGTGGCGGCTACTGTGAATCGGACACCTGCTGTGTGCCACTTGCTGCGCATCCGGTCTCTTACCGTGGGCCACGTCGTTATCCCCAGTTTACCGAAGCCGAGACGCGGTCCCAGAGAGGGTGAGGAGCGTGTGCAGGACCCTGTGGCCAGTGAGCAGCAGCACCTACGTTCAGAGCAGGGTCTGCCTGAGCCCGCAGTCCGTGCCCTCCCCGCCACCAGGCTCTGTCTGGGAGACCACCACGATCACTGACGGACGGCACTCTTCATCCCGCTGGCGGCATGCGGTGGGATGGATTCGGAGAATAGAGCACGTCCGGGTATAAACTACAGAATCATGGGCTTTCTGAGCTAAGGATGGTACTTCAGGGAGCATTAGTCCTTCAGCTTTCCTTTGTTTCTCAAATTGTGTTTGTTCTCAGCCAGGTATTGCTCGTACGTGGTACAGAAGTTCCAAATCTAACGAAAAGCTTTGCAGGGAAGAGTCTCCTCTCCCATCTCACGACCCCTGGGCCTCCCTTTCCCAGGGGGCAGCCGCGGTTACCTGGTCGTCCATCCAGAGCAGTTCTGTCCAGCGGTTTCCAGCCGCCTTCTCCCGAAGCTCCAGGTTTCCCACAAGCACATCAGCCGCCAGCATAGAAGGGGGTGGAACCTGGGGGGCTCAGTCAGCTAAGCGTCCGACTTCGGCTCGGATCGTGATCTCGTGGTTCGTGGGTTCCAGCCCTGCATCGGTCTCTGTGCCGACAGCTCAGAGCCTGGAGCGTGCCTCGGATTCTTTCTCCCTCTCCCTGCCCCTCCCCCTCTCGCATTCTCTCTCTCTCTCCCTCTCTCTCAAAAATAAGCAAACATTAAAAAAAATTTTTTTAAGAAGAAGGGAGGGTGCGTATGGCTCTGGGCCACTCACACTGCTTCACCTACGGTCGCTCCTCTCCCCCTTGCTTCCTGTATGGGGGGGTGCCTCCTGAGGTCTTGTTAGACAAGTCCCTCTGCTAACAGCAAGTTTGAACTGCTTTCACCTTACAAATGGGGACATGGTCCCCCTCCATCAGTCTGGTGACAGGAGGGCTTGTGGGGAACAAGAGGTATATAACCCCTTAGGATTCAGAAGCGGTTATAGTTCAGGGGTGCAGGGGTCAAGGAGACGGGATGAGGAGCCCTCTTGACCCTCTACTTTCTGATCTTAACAACCCACCACCCAAGGCTAAGTAAGAAAAGCTTTGAATGAAAACAAGGTGAAGAGCCTCATCACTGACCTTGCCAACCCATTGGCTCCTGGGGTGTGGTCCTGCCTCTTCCCTCTGCTGAGGCTGAGACCCTGTCTGCCTCACCAAGCAGCCCTACCCCTCCAGAAGGACTTCTCGGGCTTCCAGTAAAGGCCACCCTGGCCCTGCGGTTCTGAACTTGATCCTCGCGTCCCAGCAGGACAAAACGCCCTTTCCTATCGAAACATGGCAATAAGGTAGCCCTTAAGCAAAATTAGCCAGAATTTCTTCACGACGGAAGTGAGGATTTCACATACCTCTTCCTTCACAGCTTGCTGCTCTCTTTTAGTGGTTAGCACGCCTGAATTCAGTGGCAGCAAGATGGGCCATGTGTAATTTAAAGAGATTTGCATGCAGGCCGCATTCCTCCTTTATCTGCGGGGGGAAGTGCTTTGTCAGGGAAGCTGGGAGCCACCTTTCAGTCACCCCCACAGCAGCGCCGGTGCCCAGGTGGCATCTTCTGTCATTACCAAGAGCATCAATGTAGTGTCAACAGGGAGACGGGACTCACTTTCCTCAAGGCAAAAACTTCTTGATTAGATTTCCTTACCCAACAGTAGAGGTAAGAGCAGAGCCACATTTTTCAATCTGCCTTCCTCCGTGGTACTCACACAAAGTGGTTGGTGCCTCAGC